CGGAAGGGGGGGCTATGAGGGGTCTGGGGTGGCATCCGCCGCACCCCACCGCATCCTAGACCCCTCATAGCCCCCCCTTCTGATAGTCCGGCAAATCTGATAATCCAGCACCCCCTGGGTCCTAAAGGTGCCGGATTATCGGAAGTTTACTGTACAACCATACCACATTGTTCTGCTACTTCACGTCAATCCTTACATGCATCACACTTTCCTGTTCTAGTCATGAGGAGATTGCAAAGTGTACCAAATTACTTGGTGCTACAGTGCCTTGGACAAATGGGGACTAAAATGCACCTACCAAACTCATTCTGTTTTCAGAACTAGGCTGTGAACTCAGGTGCCACTGGGGGACACCCTCATTTTGGAGAAATCACTCCTGGCACTGCCACATGAGTTCAGGAACTAGGACTTTTCAATGCTAACCCCAACAGAGAGACATGAAGATATCTCCTGATTTTCACATCCACTAGATTAATTTAAAGTAATTTATTTTGTAACAAAAGAGATACAAGGCCATTCTGTGGCAGTCAAGGTAATATTCTAAACAGGTTATGACTATTAAAAGAAAGGTGTTCCAGAATTTTACATTACCTTTAAAGATTGTCTCTTTGTGACATAATTCTCAGAATGAAGCAATTTTTCATAGTCCTCAAAGATCTAAGGGAACAAGAAAAGAGCAATGTAACCATATGCATTCTTCTGTCTCTCACTCCTCTGTACTGGCCCTTCCTGCTCTAGCTTTGAGATGGCAGTAGCAGCACAGTTCTCTGCCACTTCTTTAGGATAACATATTGGCCACGGACTAGCAACATTCAATGCATTCAATGCACTAGCGGACATTTAAAAATGGCGGCGCCCGGCTTATGCAAATGAAGCCTGGGAAATTCAAATCCCGGGCTTCATTTGCAAGTGCGGTATGCCTACATTACCCTCCTAGTTCGAACTAGGAGGGTAGTGTAGACATACCCTGGGATAGAAACAAAAATGAGGGATTCAGTGTGAGAGAAAGCCTGAAAGTGAGTGGGATAGGGATGGAGGTGCAGAATTTGGGAGGGAGCTGAGGTGCAGAAGAGGGAGAGATTGCAAGGTCTGAGTGGGCGGTAGAGTGCAGAAGCAGGTTGGGAGTTGTGTGTCTGGCCAGGTGGAGGGAGCAGGAGCAAGGGAGGGTGCAGAAGCAATGGTGGATGCAGAAGCAGGGTGGGGATAGGGTATCTGGACAGGAGGGAGGGTGCACGAACAAGGGAGGTTGTCAGAACAAGCTGGGGAAGCAGGGTCTTGGTGGGGGGAGGGGAGTAAGTGAGGGGGATTGGGATGTGGGGGTCCAAGCATAAGGCAGGATGCTTACTGGGCTTCACGCCTCCTTACAGTAACTGCCATGGCCATGTAGTCCCAGGCTGGCCCCGGAGGCTGGAGTCACTGCTACCATGGCCACGCGGTCCCGGGCTGGCCCCACTGCCATGGCCACAGGGTCCAGGGCCAGACCCAGAGGCCGGAGACCCTGCTGCTGCGGCCATGGGGTCTGAGGCTGGCCTTGGAGGCCAGAGGCCCCACTGGCATGGTCACACAGTCCAGGGCCAGCTCTGGAGGCCCTGCTGCCATGGCCATATGGTCCAGGGCTGGCCCTAGAGATCCCACTGCTGCAGCCAGCCCTGAACTGTGTGGATGTGGCAGTGGTGCCTCTGGGGCCAGCCTTGGACTGCATGGCTGCGGCGCCTCTTGGGCCAGCCCCAAACCCCGTGGCCGCGGCACCTCCAGTCACTGGGGCTGTGGCACCTCTGGGGCTGTGGCAGCGGCACCTTCAGGATGGTGGGAAGCTGCAGGCAATGCTGCCGCGGTCACACAGTCTCAGGCCAGACCCAGAGGCACCACTGAGGAGCCTCAGCCCCAGTATTACCTCCTCCCACCGCAGCCTAATCTGCTTCAGGGAAGGGGTAGGGTTCTCCAGTTGCTATGTGGGAGAGGAGGGGCGAAGGGTTACCAGGTGTCCAGTATTTGCGGCTTCTGTCCAGTATAAGAAACAGAAAATACTGGACACGTAAAATTTCTCTCTCTCGGACAGAAGGCCTTCAGTATTTTTTGTAAAACTATCTGGAAACCCTAGAGAGGCGGGGGGGCAGCTTGCATGCCACTTATAGCACACATGCCATAGGTTGCCAATCCTTAATCTAGATGGGGGCTTGAGTCCCGAGAGGGCAGGGGACTGGACTTGATGACCTTTCAAGGTCCTTTCCAAATCTAGTATTCTATGATTCTATGCTCTTGTTATTTATGAGTAGATTAGAAAGTGTGATTCAGCTGGCTTGAAGCACAGGCACCTTCCCTGAAGTTGGGCTGCTGCTGCTGCCCCGACTGGTTCCCTTGTCTGGGAAATGGATGAACTCTGCTGTTGAACGAACAGCTCCAACTGGCACAAAGAATCAAGAAGATCCACTTATTTTAAATGTTTCTTCCAAGTTTTACAGAAATGCCCCCACTAAAGATCTCCAGTTCAGATCCAAGTGACACTAGATTCCTCGAAGTATTGTTTGCAGGAACATATATGAAACCATTGAGACTGGAAATTATTTGTACTTACTGTATCATAATTTTGTTCAAGGAAATCTGCTACTAACAATTTGTGTCTCGTTAGCAGGTCCTGGAAAAGAACAAACCAAGGAAAAATTAAATCACTCCATCTGAAGCATTTTGAAACTCAACCACCTTTAAAAAAAGAACCCACTAGTTTGATCATTCCTTTAATGTTCAGTAGTAATGGCTTGGGGAACATTTTTAAGCAGCTCTTCTCTTTTACAGAAATTTCCAGCATTACCTCAATGAAAGAATAGAAAAAGAGTAACCGTGCACCATTTAATATCAGTTGCTGATTCATGTTTAGTAGTTCACTGAATAAAAACAAAACAAATACTACGTTTAGAAAACACTCCAACACATATATTGATAGATTTTTGCACTCATTAGATGGTCTGTGGGCACACATACATATATTCACTTTTAAAATGCCAACTTATAGTTGGCAGTTATTTTCCCTTTTTAGAAACTACTTTTTCAGAATACAGTGTATATTACAGGGACACCCAGACTGTGGCCTGAAGTCTATATGTGACCTACGAATCCCTAAATGTGCCCCATAGCTGCTCAATCTCCTCTCTCTCTGTAGCTTCAAACTGATGACAAAGCTGATCAATTGCAAATTTGTATTCCTTATAGATGCAAATGGGCAATTTAAATTAATTGATCACAGCAGAAAAAATTACCACTAAAAACTGGGCTGTGTACATTTATTTCTAAAGAAATTTCTATATTAAGTACAAGTTTGAACCTGAGAGATTTTAAGCTGTACGATTCCTATTTGTAGTTAGGAGATAACCAGAATCATAGATTTCATTGAGGGTATGGTCTACACAGCAAAGTTATTTCAAAATAACAGCCCTTATTTCGAAATAACTTTTTTGAAATGCATTTTGTGTGTAGACGCATTATTTAGAAATAAGCTATTTCGAAATAACACTGTAGTGTAGACATACCCTGAAAGTTTATGCTGCTAAACAGATTTTCTCAAGATGTAGATGAGCTCTTTGGCTCCTGTCAAATGGTAACATAGCCCTTGGCATCACAGAGTCTGGGCCCTCCTTTCAGGCAATTTTTAATAGTATAACTCTACTACCTTTGAAGTTGTTACTACCCACAGGTGTACAATAGGAGTGAGAAGAGAATCAAACTCTTCATCTACTGAACTGACCTAGGCACCCAAATATGAAAATAAAATGGCTTAAAAGTTAGCTAAAGAAAAAATTAACTGTCCCAATTTTCATTCAGGCCGAGCACCCCCTTTTCCACTGAAGACTATGAGAGCTGCAAGTACTTTGCAACTCCAAAAATCAGGTCACTTATTTAGGTGTCGAAATATGGATTTGTGTGATTAACCTGAGGTACCCAAATACTTTTTGTCTGTTTTCTTCAATACACTGCACTAAAATGCAATAAAAACCTGCATCTAAAGCCCATTCAAGTCTAGAACAGACAGAACTTTGAATCAGGCCCTGCATCTTTTTCTTTAAAAGATCTGGCTTTTACCAGCTTTGTTATTCACTGTCAGAAGCTTAAGCAGGTGCAACTGTCCTTACAATGAGGTGTCCTCAATAGCTCCAAAAATGATTTATAATCTATAGTTCTTCAGTTTTTAATTTGATTTACAATGAATTATTTTGAAATTATTCATATCTAAAGAATTTGTATTTATCAGCTATTGTGAAGGGGGAAGAAGAGGTCCTCAAACAGTGGGCTGTACCCATGAAAGCTCATGATACCATCTACATGTTTTGTTAGTCTATAAAGTGCTACCAGACCATTTGTTGTTTTTTTATGGCTGCTTTAAAAACTAATATGCCGTGTAGTTAATATATTCTTTTATTCAACAGTGCTGTGATGAATTCAGATTAATTAACTGAGTGGACTTCAGGCTGTTTCACATGAGGGGCACTTAGCAACCAAGCACAGCATTTTTCATTGTGTTCAACAAACTGCATATAGTCCAAAAATTAGTTTTGTTTTTATTCATAGAAAATCAGAGGGGCACGACAACATTTTACCAGCATTCTTCCCACCTCCCAGCTGCTCTTCGTACCTCCATAGCAAATGATATCTCTAAATACGAGTCAGCTTTGCCTATTCCCCTTGTATTGCTCAGCTGCTCAATACCCGTCTGCCTAGCACCTGGCTGAAATTAATTAAAAAGTACATCTTAATATAATAAAAAATTCCAATATTTCCCTACTATAAATATCCTTAGATATTAATGCAAATTTAATTAAGCCCTTCTCTGGAGTCTGAGACAGATGAGGTTTTCTTCTCTGCACCAGACACCCATGTGGTTACATTATATAACCTGACAAGGGGGTGGAAAACCCAGATCAACAGCTGCAATAATCCACAGAATGAAAAACTGTTATGCTTGTTTTTACAGTCTTAGACATCAACACAGTTATGTTTTACAATTCCTGTGCTTTCACATCACTTATTACTATTCCAACATAAGAGAGTGACACCAGGACCAATGTTTATTTAGACTAGTGCCAGGTCTCTGATATTAGTCAATACCAGATACTTCAGAAGAAGGGGCCAAAAACAAAGCAAACCCATAATGGACAATTATGGTATAACTGTTCACAGAGGAAAAGTTTTTCCTAACTTCAGGTAGTAAGTAGCTGACTTATACTCTGAGCCATGAAGGTTTATGTGCCTCATAATTTATTCATCTATTTAGCATGTCTGTGGATGTTGCTTATTCATAAACATATTTTAAATCCTGCCATCCTCTCAGCTGGTGGGTCCATGAGCTATATAGGTCCATTAATTATATATGACAGAGTCCAGCAGCCTGCAGTTCTTAATGCAGCTCCAAAGTGCTTTGTCCCATGGCCTGCCTTGTGGTTAATGGAAAAGGAGATTAACCACCCCACCCATATTTTTCCCCTGCCTAAAGCCTGTTCACTCTAATACTGTGCAAAGAATGTGAATTTCTTCCACCAAATGTTAATGGCAGAGCTGGAAACAGAATCCAGGAAATCTTAATCCCATCCCCATGCCTGACCAAAAGACAACACCTTCTCTTTGACCACAAAGTAAGTCATTGGCCATTAAAAACTTGAGGCATGTGTATGCCTTTGTAAAATGATGTTGCTGTACCTATTTTCACTTGGAATTCTCCCTATTTAATAGTTCCAGTATCATGATATTTAGCTGGAGATAAAGATGGATAGCAACTTCAAGTCTTCTTTATTGCTTATTAGGGCTGGTTTGTACTGGAAATCTGGCCTCACTGACCACTCAGGAACAAGAAGTTACTCCCATTAAGCCAATCTTTACTCCACTCAATATTTCAAGGAGGACAGTAAAAATTAACACCAGGTTTTGGGATGTGCCTTGCACTGGTGAGTTGAACTCTCCATTAGAGTTTCTTGTAATTATATCCAAGGCTTCTCTCATCATGTTTCTAATTAGCTTCTCAAGAGGAAAGAAATAACTTGTTTCTATGACAGCAAAAACCGACTGAGAGGAGAAGGAAAAACAGAACCATATCTATATTTAGAAGAATATCTCATTGCAAAGATTTTCCCCCAGCTTTCTTAGGCAATTTTTACAGAGAATAACCAAACTGTTCCTACGTCTTAAATTCAACAGGCAAACAAATTTTTCTCAAGGACTACACTGGCTATATTTGATCCACCTCAGCCACCCACCGCCTCTCATTAGAAAAAGACTTAACAGGGGACATAGGGAGCAAATCCCAACAATACTTCTTTTTGCTTTGGGAGACATGTAAATAAAAAAGTTGCAGTGCTTCAGTCAGTGCTGAAATGGTTTGATAACCTGTTGCTCTCTAATCTTTTCCCCTTGACCTACCTCTCCAATTTCTTAATATTGCTAGTCTCTAAATCTTAAAAAAACATGCCTCAGACTCCCCCCCCCCCAATATTGTTATTTTCATTCCAAAATAATGAAATTAGCTTAAAAAGGTCAAGAAGTTTTCTAAAAAATACTAGATTTAGGGTTGTTTTTAGATGGCACCTTAAGGGCTCAAAAGACAAGTCATGATTTCAAACTTTTTCCAATAACAACAATGGCTAAATACTTTTTTAAAAAAATGCAGAAACTCACATACTTACACAAAAATCAGGAGCTGGTATAAGCCACACACCTAGTGTGGTTCACTGTCCCATGCAGTGAGTCTTAGACCACAGCAACAGATAAGACCAAGAGACCTCTACAGCATAGGCTGAGAGCCAGCTGGCTTTTAGCTCAAAGGGTAGAGGCTATATGAAGCTCAGGTTCAACTCCACCTGGTGGTGGTTACACTGGGACTTAAGGAAACTATCAGTATCACAGGACTCAAGAATATTGTAAGAGTTAGCAACACTGATTTCTGCTTCTCACAGTAGTTGCCACAACTAACTGTCATGATGCCTCTCCAGCTCCACATCACCCTTTCTCTGGCCTCAAAGCCGTTACCAGCTCACCTTGCCTATCGTTGCTCTTTTCCCACATCCAGACTTACTGCCATTCCCTCCTCTCACATCTAAATCCAACCTAGAGATGCACTTCCCTACTAAGTTCATTTGCCAACTTGACCTTTACCCTAAAACCTTCAGATGTAAGATGCAGCACTATTCCCCATTTCCAGAATGACAGGAAGAGATATTTTTTTAAGTGTTACAGATTTGCATTGTGAAGTATCAACAACATTGAGGAAAACTGAAGAAAAAAACCATGAGCGATAAAATGAGACTGAAATGACACCTACAAATATGTATGAATTCCTCGTCTTTACAATTCTCACCTAACATGCAAAGTATAAATAGATGTCCATGGTAAGTACTGTGTAATCACAGAGCAACTTTTCACCAGTTTCTTTCTCTAGTCTAAACTAGTCTCATAAATTACAAATTTGCAGGGCCATTAGTTAAAATTTGCTGCATCTCTGTACTGCAGTCCTAGGACTGTGACCAGTACAGGTACATGTGGCATCTTTGTTCCAGTCAGGGTGTATTAGAAAGGTTTTCAAGTTACATGTATCCACTAGATATACTGGAGCAAAACAGTCTTCAGACCCTAATACAACTCAAAAGTGCTTTTTGTTGCATTCCCTGGCACCAACTGCATGACCACATTGCATTACTGCAGTTTCCTGCCCGAGCAATTAGTCATACTTCTTTTCTTCTTTTTTTCAAATGATTGTAACACTACTGAAGAGGAAGGAACAAAGGGAACCTTTTGTGAACAAAACAGTGGAGGAAATGAGAGCATGGAACCCTCTATTTATGGGGAAGGAAGACATGTGTTTGAAGAAGTTGGTGCCCAGCTTAGGGTGTTCTTTTTTATTATTTCTCTGAGAATGTATTAAATGGGCATTGCAAATTTATAGCCACATTCCTACAGGGTATTGCTGGATATAATTTTTTTTTTTAAAAGGATTGCGCTGACCCAAGTACTCTCTCGCACATTTGAAAAGTTGGGCAAATTTTTCATCCTTTTGAGATGGTTACAGTCAAAGACTAATCTCTCAATTACTTGCCAGCCAGGATTCCTACTGAGTACATTCACTATTAGGCTACGTCTACACTGCAGTTATTTTGGAATAAACTAATCCAGAATAGTTATTCAGAAGTAGCTTATTTCAAAATAGCACGTCTACACTGAAAAGAAGCCTTGAAATTAATCCAAGACAGGCTTCCCTAATGTAGACGTGCTATCTCAATTTAGAGCCCCATGAAGGATAACTTAGAATGGCCCTGGTGAGGGGCTACTTCGATATAGCAGAAGGGGAGCATCTATAGTTATTTTGAAATAAGCGTTATTTTTCTTAGAATGAGGTTTAGAGAAGTCGGAATAAGATGTTCGTTATTTTGAAATTATTTTGGAATAACGGAATTGCTGTGTTGACACTCACATTGTTATTTTGGAACAACAGCCGTTATTCCGAAATAACTTTGCTGTGTAGATACACCCACAGTGAACAGTGCAAAACTAGGCCTGAAGAAGAGCTCTCTGTAGCTTCAAAACTTGTTGTTCTCACCAACAGAAGTTAGTCCAATCAAAGATATTACCTCGCCGACTCTGATACTCTAATATGAGAATACGCAGCATGGTATAACAGCATTTTCTATTTCACCACCATTTCATGCGCATGGTGGTACCAGATGTTATGCCTGTCAAAGCCAATGACAACCTTGTTTTGGAAGGCCCCAAAAATACCTGGGGGAGAAGGCATTGCTTTCCAGTGAGTCTTCCCATTGCTGCTATCAGAGCTCACAACTGACACTTCAAAGCCAAAACAAGCTATGGGAGGCAACCCACAGAATTGCTAGAAGAAAGACTTAGGCAAAGCCAGCAACACAAAATAGCTGACTGACTAAAATTTATTAATCCATGGTACTATAATAATCTGATGAAAGATGATACGAAGCCAAGTGGCAGAGATGTCAGAGGAAAGATGTTTCAAGTCCTTTCTCTTGTTTGTCCTTATTCTCTACTTTTTAAAAAATCCTTAGAGCATGAACCTTATTCCATTACTCATGCTACCAATCTCTTAACACCACTGTGGGGGTGGCATTAATAATCAACATGTCAGCCTATTATGCAGGATGGTCATGCAAAAGAAGAGTCCTGTTGTTTTTCTTTAATTATGTGTTTAGCCATGTAAATCACTTCAGGAATGGCACAAATGCATTTTGTTTGGGTAAAAGCTGGCACAATCTGCTTTATTATGTGACTGGTATTATTTTTCTGCACAAGCATCTGTTACCCTGTTGCAGTCACAGTGCCTAGACTGCAAGTGTCTGACAGTCATTCTTCCTGTCTGTTTTTATTGCTGTTTCAAATATGTGGTGATGTCTTTTCTACTGGTTAAGATTTATATTACTCATCTGAGCAGAAGCATTAGTCCATAAGGATTTAGTGAGGATAAACCTCCACATATAATGTGAGCACTCAGTATGAACTAGATTGTGCCATTTATTTACAGAGTATACAATAAAAGGTGTATTGAGACCATTGGAAGATATTCTGCCTCCATCACACAGAATACCTCCTTGAACAATCCAGTACATAAGGGACTCAAAATCAGTACTACATCCCTTTAGAATGGGTTTTAGGCTTTTCTTGTAGCTTGCCATCTTTTTCGTCTGTGTGTCAGGCCCACCCCATAGAAAGGTGCAGAGGAGGGGAACAGAGTCTGGATTCCACCTCCTTTTAACCTCCCTGCTCCTCCAAGAATATGGAAGCACTGCAGATAACAGCAGTTACTTCTGTCCCTTACATGAGCCTGCCAACATTGAGAAGTTCCTGGCCCCTTCTCGTTAACAACAAAAATTATTCAACAATGCTTTCATTGATTTCATTGACTCTTGCTAGCTGACTATACTGCTGCATTGTGACTGGTCACATTAGTCAGATGATCTATACCTATTTTATGAGAAGATCAATGCAACAACCAATTTGCAAAATACTCTCCAAAAAGTATGCTGATGTTTTGGCTTTGTAATTTATTTTAAATGTAGCAAAAAGGGTACCTAAAGCATAGACAGGAGTTATTTTAACATCTAGTACATACACAAAATTTTGTGAACACTGCCAAAGGAGGTTCATTTAGCTATTCACACAAATATTTGTGGAATTTATTATATATATATTTGTCTGACTCTGCTTCTAAAAAATAAAAACCTGAAGTCTGCTGCAACCTCAGGCTCCTGAACTTTAAATAATTCATTCTCTTTTTGTTTTAAATTCTTTAAGAACAAGTCACCTGAGTCTGTATAGCAATCACTCTTCGGCCATAACCCTGAAATGTATTGTATGTTACAGAAGCTGCATGCATGCAAAGTCCTAGTGACTTCATTAGGGCTCTGTGTGGGTGTAGCAGTAGCGTGTCTGCATTCAAGAAATTGCAGGGATCAAAATCTTAAAATCTGAATCTACTTGGTGCACTGAATCCACAGATCTACTAATTATGGCTGAGCAGTAAGTAAGCAGTAACTCAAAGCAATAAGATGAAGTAAGGAACATCCTGAGTAACTTTAAATGATTAATTCCATATATTTTTAAGGGATTATATGTGATAGTTAATTTTAGTTTTAAATGGTAATAAAAATGTCTTGAGATGTCAGAATGAAAGAAATAGAAATCTCCATTAAATTAAGGACTCTGGACTGACAGCATGCCAACTATAAATCCTGTCACAATCAGATTAGGGATGAATTTAGTCCTCTCTACCCAACAAAGAAAGCTGTCTACTAGAAAGAAAAACCAAATCCCTGTGCATTCTACCATATTTAACAGTCTTAAGCAAGTGATGAAGAAGTGATGTTTTAAACACAACATTATAAAGTTCCCAAAGACATCAGATAATTTACCTTAAATGTAGCAAAAGCATCAGATGCAATGTCAAACGTTGACATTTCCACATACTTGAAAAAGTCTCTGAACTGTTCTGAGAAAAGAATGATTTTGGCAAGTGGCTCATGTCGGATACATTCTCTCAGCATAATTCCACAGCGTAAAGCATTATGTGGTGCTTCATACCTAGAGTAAAAAAACAAAACAACACCATACAGCAGATGAAGAGGGTTATTTTAAGTATAAATGGGGATACCATATATAAGATGTATCTAAAAAGACATACCAGAAGGTCCTAAAACAGAACATTGGATCCAGCCTTGATGGCTTGGACCCATACTTAAAAATGAGCCATATAATTAAGGTTGCTGATTGTTTCAAAAATTTTAGTACATAAAAACAAGTGGTTGGAATGAAAACTCTTAGATTTTCACTGATATATTTATGCTTGGCTTCTGCTGAAAGGTGATTTTGGGAGATGTTTGAAAATTTTTAAACAAAATTCCTTTATCATTTTGGAATCAAAGGGTACCACAAATATAGTATATCCCTCCTTTTTTAAAAAAAGAACTCCAAGACCCTTAACTTTTATTGGTAAAATATATTATCGTCTCATTGACCCTCTTTCAGAGTGGAGAGGGGTTTGGGAGAGGGGAAATTATTCCACTGGAACACTAATTTCTAACAAGCCAGGGAGGAAGAGTTTATCCATGCAGGCTTTTTGGTGTCTGGATTTTTGTTGTTGTTTTGAAGTTCTGGTTATCTTTTCTGCAGCTTGGGAGTTTGGGGAGAATTTTGTTCATCCCAGTATCAGTGAAGAACCCCTGGGCTTCGTTCAGAAGACTATTATTTTACTCTCAGGTTGTAACCACCTTACGGCAAACAGATACTATACTATTGTACAGCAGCAAGCATACTTGTAAAATGGTAGGAAGTCTCCATCTATCTCCAATTCCTGTGGGACACATTGTACTTTGTCTTAAAGGTGATACACATGAAAATAAAGCATGTAAGCTTTCAAGAAAAAAAAAGGGGGATGTTATTTAGCCAACCAAAAAACCACCTCCACTCACAACATTTAAATTGCTATATAATGAACATGCTTTAACACTGTTCATTTAGCTGAAAGTGACAGGCCCCAAATGAAAGAGAAGAAACTCTTCCTTCAATGAGTTGACTGTAGCATATCAAAACTGCCTATTATCCAAAGCTTATTCACCTTATTGTTTCTCTGCACAATTAATTTCTACTGTCTGACTACAAAAATAAGACAAAACAGATTGCCATGTGTCCTATGAGTGAGTGGGCCTTCCAAATCCACCGCAAACTTCCAAAGGTAAAAAGAATCGTAGTGTTTCTAAAACATACTAAGGCTGCTTATTTCCATGTGATGATTACAATAGGTGGCCTAGTGAAAAATAAACCATTGATTCAAAGTTAAACGAAGCTTCTTTTGCCTCAAAAGCTAAAATAAATCCTAAGCAGCTGATGACAATCAAGCATCTCTCTCACATTATGGGGGCCATTTTCACCCTAAACACATGATTCTTTATTTAGTAAATGTCCACAGATGTTTTCTGTTAAGAGTTTCCTCTTCTTTCCTGCATCAGGTCACATTAGTACAAATGCACATTTTCGAACAGAACAGTCAGTCACTTCTAGGAATGTGTCCAGGAAATATTTAATGGCTGGCCAATATTTTTGGTGGAATATAAATCAATTATATTTTTCCAACAGAATACACTTCCAAAAACAAACGTATCAATGTAAGTAAATGCAGTAAAAACCTTTAAGTCAAATACTTCATTATCTAGGCTTTGGTTATGTCACAGGCTACATAAGTAAGGAAAGTTGAAGATTACCAGCTGTCTAGCCATAATTAGCTCTTTGTCTACACTAGCAGTTCCATTCAGAGCCACTGTAGAATTTAACAGAAAATCAGGAGGGAAAGTAATCCATTACCAGATGCTAATACAGCATCGTGAGTGATAATTATTAGTTACTATTAATTGACAACATACTCAATGGTTCAAAGACATAATATGAAGATCCTACCCATGTTGAAGAACTTACAACTTAAAAGTCAGCCACTGCGAACATGGGAAGCATCGGGAAACCCAGAAGATAAAGTCTTTTTTTTTTTTATAAAGTATTTACACCTTGTTTTTGTGGACAATGAAATCTCACTGAAAGAGAGCTGAATGAGAGCAGAGGTCACTTGATACAGTAGGGAGTGGACAGAAGAAGAATGCAGAGAGAGAACAGTAGAAGGAAGATACAAGGAGGGGCACAAGAATAGATTTCTTGGCAAATTGCCACATCCCCCTCAGCTTCTCAGGCCTGATTCTACATCACTTAAGTCAATGGGAGTTTTGCTATTGACTTTACCTCCTCACTGAAGGCTTGATTCTGTGCTCATTAATGTACAGATTACCCTTATTCAGAAAGAAGCTAGCAATGGAGTACAGCACAGAAACACAACATGGCTATGCGACCTACAGAGATTTTGAATGCGGATTTCTTTCATGTACAGAACACCATCCTGGCACCTGAAGTGAAGTCTGCTGTAATCTTCCCTGATGCAGAGTTATATGTTATTTTATGTCCCAGGGAACTGAATTCATCCCTCCAACACCATTGAATGCAATGGATTCCAAAGGACATCAGTGATTAATCTGGCACAAGAACATTTGGTGCCTTATATACCAAAACAGATATTCATTTGAAGCCCTATTTGCACTCCATATATAACACCATGTCTCCCTAAAGGGAAAATACACGACCATGAAAGTTAGTCCCCCTTGGCAGTAGGTAGGTCATTGATCCTACTCTTTTTATATTATACACACACACACACACACAAACGTACAAGTGAACCATTTGCTGAGTCTTTTTGTGAAGCTGACAATTTGGGAGAAATTAACTGAGAAGTAAAATGAGGACCAGAGGTAATAATAGTTATCTCAGGCTGGCAGTGCCACTGCAGTATTACACAGGAAATGCTGGCAGGGAGATCTTATTCAGGAATCTTCCCACTTAACAACAGAGCTCACATTATGCAGTGAAAAAAAGTGACCTTTTGTTGTTGCTGCTGGGAACTGACTGTCAGGTGACAGTGGAAATTTTTCATCCAATATGATGCAAACAATGACTTTCCTTCATGATCGTTTTGTGCTTTTTTTCCTACAATCGTGTGTAAAACATACATTTTATTTTTAAAATAAGTCAAATCAGGACGTATGCCAGAGATAGCATCCTATAATTTTAGAAGAAAGATGGCCAAATTCAGGGAGATAATGGAAGAGAACATGTGTGGCATTACTTTGGATTTGTTTCAGTTTTCTTTCCTTTTTTAAATTGATTGTGCAATGAAATATTACATTGTAGTGACCAAAAATTCATAATTGATAAACAAAAGTGATAAAAGAAAACACAGAGCTAAACTTTCAGATGTGGGAATCTAAAATAAACACATAACCCAACCTTGCAATGAGCACAAAAGATTGTTCACATGTAACAACTTGAAGGATTGGGACCCCGCATTAGGCATTTACTATAAATTGTGGGTTTTGGAACTCAACCTTGAAGTTAGATCCATGCAAATAAGTGCCCTTGCATTTGCTCAAATGTATTACAGGCTCAAGGTACCTTATTAAGATCCCCTGTATAAATAAATTCTATCAATCAAGAGAGAGCACAAATAATTCTAGAAGGGAACAAAACTGTTCGAGTCAAAGGTAGATGCATAACCTATCTTCATAGGAATTCAGCAAGGCTGCATTCTGTCACCATCTTTGTTCAATACAAGTATTGATTATCTACCAACCCGCAACCATTGATGGCACTGAACTGAATACCATTCTGCTTCAAGATCTTGAATACACCAACATTGTCTTATTGGCTCAGTGTGGTGAACTGCTGAAACTGATGACTGATCTAGCTGTGAAAGAAGCAGTACTTTCTATGTTGATTTTCTGGTAATTCACCTGGATGAAACTAAGCTCCTGGCTATTTCCATCAAACAGCTCCTATGATCCAGATTACAACCAGCTCGGTTAAATAAAAATCTATTCAGGGAGCAACTGTTGAATATTTGGCCATTTTCAGACAGCACTGGAGAATGTTTAAAAAATATGTGGATGTTTGTATGCTCTTCAGCAGCCTCTGAGAGGACACTGTGCTGTCAAGTTTGCTATGAAGCTGGGATCTATGGAAGCACGGCTGTGTCATCTCCTTCATATGGAAGAGGTGTTGAGGAAGGCTGAAGAACATGACTGCCATTGTTGATCAGTTGTTCCATAGCAAGTGGCAGGACAATATAAAAAATGAGAATCTTCAAAGCTAATAAACACAGCAATCACCTCCATCAGCAATGCTTCTGTTTCAGCAACTTTCTTGGGATGGGCACATTATCAGAATGGAAGATAAATGAATCCCAAAGCATGAATACTAAGGATTTTCATGACATGGACAGTGATCACATAGGTACCACAAAGTCTAGTGGTGCAAGAAGATCGCTAGTGATAAACATATGCTGAATGTGCAACTAGACCACATTACGCACCTTGAGAGAGATCAATTCAGGTGTTGCTTGGTTACAAGGAGGCCATGTACCTTTGGGATTTGAGACAATGATGAAGAATATATAAAAGTTATAGCAGTCAGCAACAAACCCCAAATACTGATGTAATATTTTAAAAGTGAAAGTTTTGGACCAAGAACTCTTTAGTTCTTTCTTATAAAGTTCTCCAGGACTGGGATACATTAATATTTTGACATAGTTTACCACTGAATAGTACTATTACTGTTGAAGTTACACTATACATTATAAGCTTCCATATTATCTTAATTTTTTCTATTTATTTCCATAGAGTCTGAAGAGTACTTGGGATATGATCCAAAAATATTTTACAGAACTGCACCACATCATATAAAACCAGGTAATGTGCTAAAAGATATAAGAAGGGAAGAAGAATAGGAAGGAAAAAAAACAAAAAGGGTGAAAAAATTGTTAAAAAACCAAAACCCGACTTAAATGTTAGATATTTAGTTTTCACTTAATCATCAGAAAATGTTTTGAAATTTACATAAGCAGTAATTAAAGGAGCTATTATCACTGTTTTGTGACAAGACAAAATGGTCACAAAGAGATGCTTTGCTCTAACTTAATGGTTCTCAAAGTATGGTAACGGTCTTATAGGTGGCCTGTGGGATAGAGGCTCACCCCTACCTGCAGCAGGGAGCTTGTTCTGGCACTCCAGCCCCACTTCCCTCCACACGAGGCTGGTGCATTAGCTTCATGCTGCGGGTGATCAGCCTGGCAGGTCAGATCCGGCTTGAGGAGGAAATAAGCGGCCCCATATACTGCTGCTCCCCCTACCCCCAGTTGGGGGAATGACAGTGCAATAAATTGCTCACCTGAAAGCTTTCCCCACTGATCACATTGGCTGGAATCATAGCCAATAGGAGCAGCAAGAGATATGCATCCCCATCCCCCTCGCACACTCCTCTCCTGCCAAAACCATGCACCCTTCACCATGCTCCTGCTCCACCTAGACCCCCCAGCTCCCACCCTGCTCCTGTACCCTACCTCCCAGCCAGACTCCACACCTCCACGTCCTCTTGCACCCATTTGGTCAGCATGAGTGGTTGGCTGGTGGTATGCAGACAGGTCTGCATTCAACAGGGTGGGCAGCAGGCCAAAAAGTCTGAGAACCTCTGCTCTAAATCTGAACAAGGAACTTAATCAGCATGAGAGAAACATTATTTTGTAAGCCATTCTGCCTCTCTTTCTATTTCACTGTCAAGCAGCTGCCTGGAACCCCTCTTAGCCCTACTACCTGGATTCCTGCCAGAAATTTAAAGGAACAGTGCACATATCTTCATAACTATTTAAATTGGGGCTGCAAAACAGAAGATTGAAGAAACCCTTAGCCCCAGAAGCTGTTTTCAGACAGCCACTACTGATACTGTGTCTACACTTAAACGCACCAGCAACAGGTAGGGTTCTCTAACTGTGGTGATTAATATATCTCCCTGAGAGGCGGCAGTTAGTTTGATGAAAGAATAATTCCATTAATCTAGAGCAGTTGAATCAGTGTTTAGGCCAGCATATCTATGTCTCCTGAGATGTACTTATGCCAATGTAACTTTTCAGCGTTAGACGAGCCTGAAGTATTTGGGAATGGGGAGCAGTAGAGATACCCTTTTCTGTAGGATTTGACTCTTATGGATCCACGCTGAGCACAGATCACATTTGTAGAAGATGCTCACTTTTTCTCCTATGTTCTCCTTATGAAAACGGTCCAGAAAAGTCACATTTACCGTCAGCAGAGAAAAAGAAATCCCTCACACACAACTCTGCAGAATAGTCTTAATGAAATAAAACTGTAGCTTGGCATTTGAACAATGTACTCCCAGGCAGAGTACTTCAGGATTTGACCATAAACATTAAATACACAGTACTTCAAATGTATCAAAATGAAGGATCTATATAAGTGAGCCGTTAAATATTTCCAGTGAGAATTTTGCTGTATCTATTAACTCACTTCACAGTTGACACCCAAGCTCTGTGTGCATTTTTGCACACCTTTTGTATATGCAATTAGTACAACTGGATATGAAAGTCACACAGCCACAAGTCAATTTTGGGGTCCACCTCTTGATTTTTGAATGCCTGGGTTTAATAGTACTGCTATTACATGTTTAACAAGAGATCATACTGGTTATATTAACTGACCAATATAACATATTATTTGTACATGGCAACTTTTATCTAAAACAATCCGAAAGCTCTTTATAAACAATGGCTCCTATTTACGCCCCCCCTGGAAAAAAATGAAAGGGTGACCAGAAAATAACAGCTTTCAAACCATTGAAAAGCTAAAATTCTCAACATATGGAATAGATTTGGGGCCAACCAGAGAAAACAGACACCTCAGAGAAGTTTGGTCGTAAACTCATGCATTGCCATGCATCAATGCAGTTAACATCTTCCCTTTCCATGGCAACAACTCAGCTTGGAGGCCAATGCACTAACTCCTTCTGTGAGACAAAAACAGAGGGAGAACTAATGCTGAAAAGAGCAATGTTATTTTCTGTACTGATCTGCACTTAAAAATCTGCTGGTGGTTGAGAGGAACATGTTCCCCAATTACATCCCCCTTTCTGATGTTTGTCCAAAACTCAGAGCACCAATAATGCAAAGTTCGCTAACAGAAACTTCTGTATGGTCAATGGGGTTTGTAGAGCATGCTTGACAGACATCACCATCTTTCTTGTAGTCTTTTGTTTTTCTACACAATAATCCAGAATTTGGCCAAATACCTATAGGAATCATTTCACTCGCTACTGAAATGCAGCCATCTGTGAAGGGAACTCAGCAGCTGCTTACGTCTATCCATCAATCCTATAAATCAGCTTAGGGCAGGAATGGAAGAGAGTTTCATATGGAAAACAGAGGGGAAAGTGGTCAGAATGTAATTACTCCAATATGGAGTTTGGCCAAGAAATCATGGGCAAATAAATAATGTAGGTACTGAAATGTGAACAAGTATCCAATTAAGCAGTAACAAATCAACAGAAGCCAAGAAAACTGGAATTAAGGCTGAAATTTCATCCACTTAAAAAAAAAAAAACCATCATCATCATATAAGGTAGATCACATTCATTACAAACACGTTCCAAACAATCCTGCTTAACAGAAATTAAACAGATTAAAATGAACACCTACCCTTTTAGAAGCATAAATAGGATATGTGGATGGGCACTAATGTATTCTACAGTAGGGCTTCGAGTACCAATTTGTCTTCTCAAGATGTTGTTAAATATCTGGGATACATCCTTTTTGCCCTGTTAAAGAAACAAAACATATTTGCAAGTGTGAAAAAATGAAATAAATTGATTATTCAATAGTGTCTTTATTTACAGTGGGAAAAGATACCAAGAACAGAGCAAGCCAACACCATTCTTGGATCTGGACTTACTATACTCTGGTCATCTGAAGAAGTGGGTTTTGCCCACCAAAGCTCATGATACCATCTACATGTTTTGTTAGTCTTTAAGGTGATACTTGACTATTTGTTGTTTTTTAAGTTCTTCCAGTTACAGATTAACTCAGCTACCCCTCTGAAGCTGTTTTTCTTTGCTGCTGACCCCAAACATTTTATTCATCAGAAGATGGGTGCATATTCAATGGCTCAACAGGATCCTTTAGTTCCCCATCTATTTGTTCTGGACAATACCAATTCCACCATTTTCATTTTTCTTTTGCCAAACATGCAAATACCAACTCCTTGGTTTACTCTGAAAACCAAATCCTTTGTTCTGTTAGTTGGCAAACACCTCTTCCCAGTGAATGATACACAACTGCTTCTTTACAATGTGGGAGCTAAGTCCTCACAGCACTACTCAAACCCAGCTCCCAGTGGGGCAATGCAATGCATGGTTTTGACCTACTTGGTCAGACTTGGCCTTTTTCCTTTTATTGTGACTGGCATTTTGATTGTGATTAGCTACATTTGATTTTTTTTTTAAAGTCCTACTTTTAAATTTTAATTCCAACCCTTGATATACAGCAAAGTGCATGGTATACTGAAGGACAGAACTAGGATTGCTCTTATACTTAAACACTGTTAACCTTTAGACTAAGACCAATGCTATTGTCATCTGTGCTATGGGTTGTTTTTATTGACTCCCCCAAACTTGATGAAATTGGTCCATAAGTTCCTTGAAGCCCGATGACCCCTCTGATTTTCTCCTGCTACTACTCCCCATGTATACATCTTCTGAATCTTGCGCTGCATTAGTCATCATCATTCCAGTTAACGAATTCTGAGAAGATACCTCTAAGCCAAATCACTTAGAGAGATTGCTGTTGCAAAAGTGGAGAGAGTCACGTTAAAAGTCTGGTAACTGAGGAGCAAGATAAATAATGGGTCACAATGGACAATGCAAGCCATATTGATAACATTACAAGACGACAAACACATTCCTTGGCTTGGAAATTAACAAAGGTCTCAAGGCAAAGAGCAGATTGTTTCACATAGAGAAGAATTTTCCTAGCTTCACCCTTGCAAATAAATCACTGTTGAAAAGGACTGAGTATTTTGCCTTCCTAATTGTTCCAGCCCAGCTGGCCTGGAGAGTAAGAGACTAATAAGAAAGGAAACCAAATCAGCAGAAAGGCCCATCTGCTGTTTGAGATATTCTTGACACTTGGATCTTCTTGTAATTAAGCCAATTTGTTTTTTAAAACATTCCCTTTAAAACTGTAACACTCTACACATAAGCCCAGAGGCAACACGGGGCAAAAGTTAAAACGATCCTTGCTACATAAGCTCAGGATTTGGGGAGAGATTTTCCAGACCTTTGGGGCTGCCTCTTGAGTGTCAAGACTCCCAGTGGCATCATGACAATGGGCACTTCAGGTGGCACAGACGTAAAAGGAACAGTGAATAAACCAGAGAAGACAACAGATACGGGACCTGTCCCAAAGACGACGGTCTTGATCCACACCAGTATCCAGATTACTGCTAAACAGAGACTATTATGTTGTTGAATTAAAGTAAATGTACCAAGGTTTTTACAAGTATCAGCCACATAGTTCACCATACTCTTTTTAAATTTTGGAAGCATCATAACATTTGGCCATGGAAATAGGAGCAGAGCCAAAAACATTATATTAAGCTTTAAACACTAGATGTACTACAATTACGTGTTTTAAAATAGCACATATCCTATGTGTGTCAAGCACCCATCAAAAAAGTATGCAAGAATTAACTGATTTTGCAATGCTTCCTTCATATGGAATGTGCCATCTAAGTTCTCTTTACAATGAAAAATGCAAGATACAATAGAAGCAGAACAGGAGGGACAAAACTGAGATTAGATATAAGCAAGGAACAAATTGCTATCCACATAAGGAATTTATTAACACATTCCTGTGCCATAAAATCCAAGCCAATGTGATATTTCATAGGAATCAGACAAGAAAACGAATGTAGGATCTCTGTAATGTAGTGGTTTTATATTATCATTTATTCTGAGCTTGTGGCTATTTATCTTCTCCTTTATTAGCCAACAAAGTTTTTTTAAGCTACTGGCCCAGTCAAAGTTCAGATCTGAATCCAAATTAGAACTTCCCAAGTTCAGTTGTGTTTCAGTTCATGATTCCTGCTCAGGGCTATCTTCATCAGTTTTATAAGAGTATCAAACCTCAAAAAAGCCAGTTTTGAACATGATTTATAATTGTAGAAATGGGGATTAAATACAGAAAACACATTTGTATACTGACAAGTAATAACTCATTGTCTGATCAATTCATATGTAGATAACTGGAAGACAGCAAAATAAGACTCAAATGTGATCAAGAAAGTTGAAAATTTAAAAAAGAATGGGAACTTGAAAACACAGTGGTCATATACTGTTAGTAAAACTCCTTTTCAATTACATTTTACTGATGCAGTATACATTTTATTCTCTTAATTTGTCTAACTATAACACCTGTGGCAAAATGGAGAGCTTTGCTATGTGATTATATAATTTTATCATGGATCTAGTTAAGTTCATAAGTAAAATATTTAGAGTTCGGTTCACAATAAAAATCTATCTACACACATACACAAAGAAGTTACTCACTTTGAGCAGTAACGATGGTTCTTCGAGATGAGTGTCCCGGGGGCGCTACACTGTAGGTGTTGGGCTTGTCCCGGTGCCACAGATCGGAGATCTTTTTCAGCCGTAGCCCACTGGACCACGCATGCACAAAGCGCTTCTCATGCCTTTTCGCGCTGTTTGTGTGCGCACGGTCCAGCTCCCGCCAGTTCCTCCTAGTCTGAAAGACATAAGAAACAGACACTCCGAAAAGGGGAGGAGGGCGGGTCGTGGAGCACCTATGGGACGTGCATCTCGAAGAACCATCGTTACTGCACAAGGTGAGTAACAACTACTTCTTCGAGCAGTGTCCTGTGGGTGCTCCACTGTAGGTGAATTTACAGCAGTAGCCCCTGTAAAGGAGAAGGGATTTGGAGCTATCATGCTGTAGCCGTGGAGAAGACGGCTGATGCCACTGCCGTTGGCAGAGAAGAAGGTTGGAGATGGCAGAGTGTTTGGCGAATGTGAAGTCCGAAGACCATATAGCAGCCCTGCAAATGTCTCTCAATGAAACCCCTTTCAGGAAAGCGGTTGATGTAGCTATTGCTCGCGTTGAGTGAGCTCTCAGCGCGTGTGGTAGAAGTCTATTTTGTAAAGCAGAACATTTCTTTATGCAGGCGACGATTATTGATGAAATGCGTTGTGCAGATAAGGGATGGCCCATAGAGCACTCAGCCATGGATACTAGGAGCGTGTGTGACTTCTGAAAGGATTTAGTTCTGTCTATATAGAATGCCAATGCTCGCCTGACATCTAAGGTATGGAGGCGTGCTTGCTCCATCAAAGAATAAGTTTTAGGGTAGAATGTGGGAAGGACTATTAGTTCGTTTATGTGAAACTCTGAATTTACTTTGGGGAGAAAAAGTAGACTGGGGGTGTAATAAAGCTCCCTGAGAGGTGAATATTGTGTAGGGTGGGGAAGCTAATAGGGCAGACAGTTCCCCAACTCTCCTTGCAGAGATTATCGTGAGCAGGAAGATGACTTTCATTGTGAGAGTGTGTAGGTCACATATTGCTAAAGGTTCAAAGGGATTCCATGTTAGAGAGTTCAGGACTACCTCCAAATCCCAGAGGTCTGCAGGCTGTCTATGGTGTGGAAAGAGATTAGCCATCCCCTTCATAAATCTCTTCGTCATGAGATGTGAAAAGACTGAGTAGCCGTCTACTGAATGACGGAAAGCAATGATAGCAGCTATGTGTACTTTAAACAAGCGAACATAAGACCGGAGTCTTTAAGATGTACAAGATAGTCCAGAATCCGGTGGATAGGCACAGAGTAGGAATCTAAATGTGTCTCAGAACACCATGAAGAAAACTGTGTCCATTTATGAAGGTAAGTACTACAGGTGGTAGATTTTCTACTATATAATAGAAGGTGTTTGACAGCTTGCGAACGTATCAACTGTTTGTTGGAACCAACCAGGTACCAGGCTGTCAGCGCCAGGTGGTCGAGCTGCGGATGAATCGAGCGCCCGCAGTTCTGTGTGAGCAGGTAATGGTGTCTGGGCAGAGGATATGAAGAGCGAACCGACATGCGAGACAGGTAAGGGAACCACGTTTGTCGTGGCCACAAGGGGGCTATCAGAATCACCATAGCTCTCTCGATAGCTATCTTTTCCAGGACTCTGGGAATTAAGGGCATGGGAGGGAAGGCGTATAGAAGACGGTGACTCCAACTGCATAAGAAGGCGTCTCCCATGGAGTTCCATCCAATCCCGGTCCTTGAGCAGTATTGGGGGCATTTCACATTGAGACGTGTGACAAAGAGGTCTACTAATAGGAACCCCCAACGATGGAATATGATGGAGACTACTTCTGGGTGTAGCTCCCACTCGTGGTTCGTGGAAAAATGTCTGCTTAGTGCATTGGCTGTGGATTCTGCTGCCCGAGGAGATACTCTGCGAGGAGGGAGATTTTTGTGGCAGTTGCACCAGTTTCAGAAACGTGTCACTTTGGCGCAAAGCGATCGGAACCAAGCTCCTCCCTGTCTATTTATGTAATATACAGTGGCTATGTTGTCAGTGAAGACTCGTATGACTTGACCATGGATAACTGGGAGGAAGTGTTAGCAGGTGTTGTAGACCACCTGTAATTACAGGAGGTTGATGTGCATCCATGATTCTCTGGGGGACCATAGGCCCTGCATCTGTTTGTGTAGCAAGTGGGCACCCCAGCTGAGGAGAGATGCGTCGGTAATA